GGCGCCACGTAGCGAAAAGAAGAAACGACTGGCGCGCTGTTGTTAACTCGGCTATAATCGCGTAAGCGGTGTCTACGCCAATTAAGAAGAAGAAGAATATTCCTTCAGAAAAGCTACTTGTTTGCCGAAAGCTCCGATATCAGATCATTATAAAATATACTGATCGATTAAAACTGAGTTCTTGTGTGGACAGATTTTTATTTGACAAGATATGTTCATGAAATATAACATAAATTACTATCTTAGTAACGCTACCATCTACGAATAGATTATTAAACCGGAACGCTATTGCTTAAAGCCGCTGTTTACTTATTAAACTAAATTGTTTAAGCAGGTGGCACCAAATGTCGGAAAAGTTTTTAATTATATTTAATTTGGAGCAGTAATACTTCTGAAAATAGAAACAATTTATTGAATATAGGTGGCAACTCTTGTCAAAAAGTTTTCCAATTATAATACTTTCATAAACCGCTTTAAATTTATATCGATATACTACAATTACTAACTTTAGAAAATTGATAAATTTTTTGAACACAGCTGGCAACGCTTGATAAAATTTTTTCAAATTGTAATACAGTCATAAATCACCTAAATTTTACTTCAATGTATTAAAATGACTTACTTCAGAAAATTTAAAAATTTATTGAACACAGTTGGCAACCCTTGACTAGAATAATTCCAGTTGTAATACTCATAAACTGCTTAAATTTGACATCGAAATTACACAGTTGTTAACCTCAAGAAGTTGATGAAATTTATTGAACATACATATATAGTTGGCAACCCTTGGCTGAAATATTTCCAATTCCTATAACTTCTTAAATCGCTTAAACTTGATTTTCAAATGTCTGATTACAAGTAATTAATTAAGTTTTGAAAAAGTTAGCTACCCTCAAAAGTATTTGCTTATGAAAACTTTTTTAAATTTATTTTGATAGATGTTTTTTAGCTTTTCATTTACTTAAAAATTTAAAATAGATGGCAACTTGAACAGTGCCGAATAATTTTATGGGGTTCCTCGGCTAAAAAAAGTTTTTTTTTCAACAATTTTTTCTCATAGAAAAAATTCCATTTTTTATTGTTACTAACATACACTATTAACAAACGAATTCGGAAAACGTTGCCAACCGACTTTAAAAACACATTAGGAACTTAGCCTAGTTAGCCATGACCGCACAAGTTCTCAAAGCTGTATCTCCGATAGTATTACTCGGATCAACTTGAAGATTTAGGAAAATATTCTAGGGCTGTTTTAGAGAGGAAAACTAATACGACCTTTGTTATAATCGTTAAGTGTAGTACTTTGAAATTAATTTCTTAATTAACATTTTTCAGCACCGAAAAGGATCATGGTGGAGTTCAGCAATAAAATTTTTAAATAAATTATTTCATTGTAGAGTTAACGTCACTAGAACTGGCATTTTCGAATGTCAAATTGTTTAATGTTTTAATAAGCATATATATATATATTTGAAAACTATTACAGGGCAGTTTTTGTTATAAAATTTGACTCCTCAAACATTTCTAAAGGTTTCTTCGAATATAAAAATGCTTATGGTCGCCTTGGTCTCTTGAAGTCATTCAACTAAATCTGAATAAATTATTATTATTGCTATGAGATAATGGCACAATTATATTGAAGTGTGGTATTTTGTAGAAATTTGTATTAAGTTTTTAACAGGCATTGGCTTCATTGCAATTGATAGATCTGTCGAAAAAGTAGTGCGAATCAGGAATAATCGTAGTAACTGATCTCCATCTCGTATCGTCAAGGACCAAAACTGGGTCATTGGCTTACTAGATCAGATTAACCTAACCAAAGAATAATCAAAATTAACATAATATTCATGGCCTTGCAATTATTCCGACACATATTACTCAAATTTCATCGAAATACTGTTAATTGCTGGAAATAAGTTTTCATGTCACTCAAAATAAATTACGGAATATTTCTGGAAACTGCTCAAACTGTTAAACTCAAAGTATTTATTTGTCTAAGCAAACTCATTGTCGTCAAACCAATGTCAAGTAATTGTTTAAATTAATCATTCTCAATACACTACTGTTGAATAATTTTAGTTAATGATTAATCACAGTGGTGCCTGTAAAATGAAACAAATTCCAAAGCTTGTCTTAACTCGTCAACATTTTTAACATTGAAAACATATTCGAAGCTTAACAGTAAATATCTCAATCGCATCATCAATTATTCACAGCTCGCATTAGAACATTGCAGCAAATCATTGAACTACTTATGTAACGCATGCATTTGAGCATCTCAACTAAGCACACTTAAGCTCCAACGAAATATCTCGCGTATTGACATAAGTGCATAGATATTTGTTGCGTGATATGTTTAAACGGCATTGCTTATGCACAAAAATTTTCTTTCGAAACACACATGGCAGACGGATTAAGGGATCAGTGCAAGACATTACTAAGAGCATATTGTTTATTGTGTCGGGTGATGATTTGATAGCTGAAACAATCGAGTTACAAGTAGCATAGTCGGAGTAATACATACGTATGGATGTGTTGAGAAGTATTTATATTGGTTTGTCGCAATTAAATCTATATTAAATGTCACGCATGTGAAATCACGAAAGGCGCATGCTTTAAATACATGGTGAATCAAAAAGAAATAAAATAAAATATAATTTCAAAATATGTCTCATTGATATTTGTGTGGTTATAAACATGTTGGTTTATGTGAAATTGAAACTATAAAATTTTTTGAAACCCGAATATCGCGCGTTGCCAAAAAAGAAATGTTCTTTCAAATATGTCTATTTGATTTTCATAATTTCAAATATGTCTATTTGAAAGTTTAATAATTTTATTTTAATTCCGAAAATTTTTGGGTTATCGAGTTTGAAAATCTTAAGTTGTTCCCAAATATCTAGAAATTAAATCAAATTAAAAATTAATTAATACCACCATTCCCGATCCCGAAATTCAGGATTAAGTTTTCGGGATCCCACTGAAGTTTATTTGTGTTTATACCAATACTTGCCAAAATTCATATTCAATGATACGATTTCGTACATTTCTGACTTAAATGATATCGTGCAAGGTAATATTCCAATAAAAAACGAAAATCTTTTCGGGGTCCCGATAACAAAAATTGGAAATGTCAATGAATTTCTTAAATATCAGAGTTTGATATATAATTACAAATTATTTATAATTCTATACATTTTCGGGATCCCGTAAATTTGTAATATTCTGGTATTCCAAGGATACTTGAATAAGACATGAAGATTGAAGGTTCAAGAATTGACATCAATATCAAAGACGTGGGTTAAAATATGCAGTTAGATGCATATTTGTAACTTTTCTAAAGCTATTTTTCTATAAATATTAACGGCTTAGTTCCGAAAATTTCGGGATCCCGATATTTGATCCCGAAACGTAGTTGTAGCAAAAAATCGTTTAAAAGCTAATTCAAAAAAGTTATACTCACAATTTACTTCTATAAATATTCTTTTCATAAGTATTGAAATATATCGGAATCCAACAATCATAAATGTATGCAATTCAATTTATCAAACCTCTCTGAATTTATTAAATACATTTCGTTTCACCTTCTACCAATTTATATTTTTAATTTTTTTTCCAATTTTATTTACGAGCACGATAACATTATACGAGTAATCAAACAAATGTCAATTTCGGCTGTAGAAGAAAATTGTGACTCTCATAGACGAAACCAAAAGTGGATATGGGTTTAATTGTACTTTCGTACGTAGTTGTGTAGAAGGTTATGCGTGTACCATATACTGCAAATAATAAAATTACGAGCAACGCATAAAGAGCGCACGTTTAAGTACTTAAGCGTCTCCGATTTGGCTCAATGCAGTAATAAAATATCACATGAGCCTTAAGCCTCGCGAGGGAGTGCCTTTGTGCTTAAAGGGGGAATGAGTGGTGACATAGAGAACATCGTTGTTTTTTGGTGTGAGTGTGACGTTTAGGGAATGGAAATTTAACGCATGAGCATGTTTAGGCATTTTATGCTTGGGGAATGATAAAAAAATATTGTTTTAATATGTATTATATTAGAAAGGGGTGAGGCGATGTGTAGATATTCAAAAGAATTGAGTGGATTATTGCTAGGCGTCTTTTCTATTTTAAGAAAAAGTTAAAATTGGCTGTCTGGATGATGCTTTTGCGAAAATCCAGATGGGGCTACAGTAAAGTTATTACGAGTCACTATACTCACTGTATATTTTGGCCTATATTCTAAACATATTGATATTGGAAAAGCTATAGAAAATTCATACAAAATTCTCATACTCATCAGTTGGGTAAGTAATTGCAAATGCTTAAACAAATAACTTCCTTGCACCATAAAATTTTCATTTTAATCAAGGGCTTTTCACGCTTCATGCTTTATAAATAACTAATTAAGCCATAAAACAAGTCTTACAACTTCACTTACCCCATCGGGATTAAATTTGGGTGAGGCATGTGGTGCACAAAAATCCTGCAACACATCCTGTAGCTTTCTTGTTGAATCTGCAAGGAAATATAAAATAAATTACATATTAGAAAATAATTCAATGTGTCAGCAAGAGTTTCAGAAAATTGTGAAAACTTGTAAATCGATTCATTTTAATCTAGTCAACAAATGTAAGCAACTGTTTATTAAGTAATTAAGAAATTACTTGTGTATGTATTTATTTGATTATTGCTTGTTGCTATTCACAGCATATTCATGATGTATAGTATGAGCACTCAAAACAAGTAACTTAAAATTTTGTGTGAATTTCCGGAGAGCTTATTTTACTTGTTACTTTGCATGTGCTTGGGAACCTTTATTGCTTTTTGAAAGTGTTATTGGGTTATTGATGTGTTATAATATTAGTTAAATTTTTCTTCTTTTTCTTTATTGGCGTAGACACCGCTTACGCGGTTATAGCCGCGTTTAAGAGCGCGCCAGTACAAGATTCCAAGTGTAGCCAAACCCTTCTCCAAATTGATCTTTTCAACGGAGTGGAGGTCTTCCTCTGCTTTCCCTGGCGGGTACTGCGTCGAATACTCTCAGCCAGTGTAGCCACTATCTCTTAATTTGTTGGATTATGTCAATGTAGGCCATTGCCAATGCGCAAAGAACCATCAAACTTCCGCATAACCTTTCTCGGAAACCCGATTGATTAAATTTTGACATCGCCCATGGCCCTGAGTGACTTGTAGAGCTTTGTATTTGTGTGTCGTGGGAAGACTTTACTTCTACTTGTCTACTCAGTCCGAAGTAGCAACTTTTGGCAAGAGTTATTCTGTGTTGGATTTCGAAGCTGACGTTGGTGTTGGTGTTATTGCTGGTTGAAAGATAGGCGAAATTATCTATGACTTCGAAGTTATGACTGTCAACAATGTCGTTGGTGGGAACCAAGTCGTTAGTGCAACACTTGTTTGGAATCGAACGACTCTGAATATCTGGTAAGTTTGACAGCCCGAGGGATCCAAAATTTTGGATGAATCGCTCTCTCGAAGACTTCAAGCGCCGCTACGTCTCCTTTTGACATTGGTAACGCTTCTGCCTCATACAGAAGCCCGGATATTATGAGCGATGTGTAGAGTATTATTTTGTCAAGAGCATAGAGCTCCAACGATCAGCCTGCAATAGCATTGCTACCTCCACACCGGGTCAAAAAATTGGATTCAAAGAACGGCTCTCAATGGTCAACACAGCCACAGGATATCTGGGTATATGAAGGGGTCCAGACAGGGTCGCGCAGGTTCTTGCTGCAATTGAAACTTTGACTGCTGCATATGTGAATAGTGAAAAGTCGCTGGAGAAGAAACGTGGGCTTTCTTATGGAAGGGTTAAAGTTAGAATAGAAAGGGAGTCTTCTCTATCAAGCTTAGCTTTAGGATACCGGACTACTAGTGTATTTTGTATTCAGAAGTGGCTGCTATTACGGTACCAGTAGCACTTCGGAGCAGCATCTTTCAGGGAGGGGAGTATTTAATCCGCCAGCAGAGCGGCGATTTTAGCGTTAAGCTCGCAAACTCTGCACCCAAACTTAGTCAAAAATGTCCAGGTCAAGCTGCCTCATTATCAGACTCGTTTGGGAGTCCCGTTTATTCACTACTAAGCCGGGTTAGACGTTCACATCGGAGTGGGAACGAGTTAGTTAGAGTGCGCCTGGCAAGAATTGGTCGATAGCCAGGATTTGATCGGCTATCAGATTCTTCCTCAGTTTTTGAGGAGTTTTAACAATCATAATGAAGATGTCCAAGTGAGATCCTTATTCGGATCGATCACTGAGCCTGACTTAAACAGATTTGTTAATAGTTCATAGGGATTCATGACAAGATCTCAACGAGCATCACTTTGAAAGACCAGCTAGTATTTTAAAGCTCCAATAAGTTATAATCATTAATATGCATCATTGCTAATGAGTTCCCCCGTCAGTTTTAATAATTCTTATTTTATAATGTACAAAAAAAAGTTTATGTATCAACACTATCAACTTATTTCGAGACTTTGGGCAACTACTTCGCATAAGTTTACAGTGACTTTCGCTCTAATGGAAAGTAGGGCCAGCGGAAATTTGCTAAATTAAAAATACACAGGCACTCATTCATCTTATACTGGTAATTTAAAGGCGAGTTGTCTGCATTCACCATGTAATGCAATCCAATTTATCTTGAGTACATTTTGGTGTTTAACGCTGCCCAATGACCCATCATTTGCCAGCGCCGCCCCCCTCCCCCTTACACATGCAAATAAATAAGAAAAGTTTACGCCAAACGCCATTTCTATTCATTTTTCATCGCATTTTATTTTATTCCCTCGTATTTTTTTTACTTCATTCACATATTTTTTTCACCCTCATTTCCCACTCACTTAAGTGGCACTGCAATATTTGCTTCCTTTTTCCATTAGTTAATTGTATCCTGTTTGTTGCAACTCAATACAGCGCTAACATATACATACATGCTTATGTATGTGCAACCATATTATAATTTGAGTTCGTGCCTGCGTGTGTGTGTGTGTGTGAGTTGTAGGCGATTAGTTCGGTGTCGCCAGTCAGTCAGCTCGACAGCAGTCTACCAAATTGTAAGATGACCTGTGTAGACTAGAGTGGAAAATAAGTTCCTTTCTTGCCACTCGTTCTATAAATACGTCTCAATGGCGAATGAATGAACTGTTTGAGCAAAAAATTGCGACAAATGTGTGGGCGTCAATATCCACTTACATGTAAACCTAAACATATCAGCTGTAATGTAAAGCGCTTCGAGGTGTTTGTCTATATTTAGTTGGGAATTTAAGGTAGTAGAATTTGTATATCTTTGAGTCCTATTTTTATATATATGTATATATGTTTATCAGCATGCAAATCTACATATGTGATATCAACTCAATTATGTATGGAACATTAGTATGTACGTGCTACATATGGCACTGTTTTGTTGATAAATCTATGCATGAAAATGTCATGTGACTGTAAATGACTGGTCTATGTATTCGCAGTTGTCACCTTGACCATAATTTATGCATGCATCCGGCTTTGATGCACTCAAGGTATTTTTAGTTGAGTGTTACTTATGTAGATGTGTACCTCTTGGTAAACATAGAATAATCTTGATAAAATACATTTTTTCATATTTTTGCTACTCTAAAATTGCTTTGCTTGGAACGTCAGTCAAACCTTTATTACCGACACACTAATTATATCCATATGCTCGGTTTGTCATTCTTTTTTGGAACATCTTATGCAGTAGAGAATTTATTTCGCTAAGACTCTGATTGCTGAAGAACCTTTTGCTCTTGAAATAAAGTCACAGTAAAAAGGAGAGGAAGGAAAAAAAATCAATTTTATAGTATGATATTTAGATATAAAAATAATTACTTCGAGAAACACAAAACAAAAAAGAAAAGAAAAAAAAAGACACACACAAAAATATCATAACAGTTATGAGCTTCAAAAACATATAATTTCTGCACAGTGAGCATCACATCACAACTTTTTAAATCACATGTATTTCTGTTAAAACAAATTCAATTGCATTGACGATTAAACATCTTGTGATATGACATGATCACATTATATCCGGTTTTGTCGGGCTAAACTCGCACTTAATTGCTAAGTCACATCGAAAAATGCCATCATATAATAGGATAACAGATCCACGCAGAAAATATATTAAAAGGTTTCAATTGAACAGTTGAAGCAATATGGCGACATTAATATGAATACGTCACTCGGTTTTACATCAGAATTATTACAATCCCATCAGATGATTGTGGAGAAAAATAAGTACAAGTGGTCTGTATAAAGCAAAGCTCAAGTGGATAGCTTCACTAGCAAGACTTCACATAAGAAATGTCAGCATCGCTATAATAAATCACATCATAGCATTTGCTGTGATCAATCACTAGATTGACCGCCCGTCTTATGACATCATATGCTACTCTATTATTTCACATCGTAGCATCACATCATACAATCACTTGATATTGAATATAAACGTGATATAGATGATAAGATACCACACATCAAATGCATCATGTTATTATGTTATACTCAATTCTATTTACATATGGTAGATAGCTGTAGTCTCAGCTACTTTATCATATTTCATCACTTCGTAAAATTGCCGGAAGTATATTACATATCAGTTCAATATGCGATATGACAATGTATTATAATACATGTTTTTTTTTATCAATTTTATTAATATCATATATAACAAAATCAAATTTTAGCTAAGTGATATGTTGACTTAACTCAGCACCGTCATTGATAGATTTTCTAAATATGCATTATTGTATATACAAAAATATTGATATACATATCTGATGTGACATCACGTCACATACCACATATGGTATCAACAGACTCTAATCACTTACCAACGACTACTAGAGTTGTCATCGATTATATTAACACGATATTTGCTGTGATTCAAATGAGGCGATAACACATCACATGTCACATAACACATATCACATATGCATAACTTGTCACTTGACACGCCGATGACATCATACTAAAATGGGCAAAAAATTGTACGGCTGTTTTTTGTTTTGAGTAATCCCGCTTGTTCCCAATACACTTGGGTCAACATTTTTGTCAATTCTCGAAATAGTTGTTAAAGGTAATTAGTGATTTAAGCTGTGTGCCTTCAAATGACCTAAAACGCTTTCCCCGAAACAGTTGTTAGAGTTTTCTGAATAGCTTAGCTTCGCGAATATAGCATAGCTTCGCGAAAATGACGGATAACATTCAAATAGTATTAATAGGAATTCAGAGGGTAGCACACTTCAATAATTGAAAAAAATTATCATCTGCCTCAGTAACGTATTACAAACACATCGCATCATCATTGAATCATAATACCATACATTTTTCCTGTTAAAGTTTCTATACCTTTTTGTTTTCGAATTTCTTTAAGAAACTGGCAAATTTAATTGAACAACAAATTTTTGCCTCCGTTTTATATTTTTAGATTTAAAGTTGATCTAATTTGTTTTCTTTTGTTTTTCTAGTGCTACCCCAACAACA